CATGTTTGCAACAGTCGCTGATGACGAAAGGGTGCCGACTACTTGGCGACTCCGGAGAGAATACAAATATTCATCCTCTTTTGAATCTTTCGTATTCGCTTCTTCCACTTGTTCATTGAGTTCTTGCATCTCTTTCTTTAAATTACTTATCGATCTGATTGAAATTCCGAGACAAGCTTGACAACGCTCGAATGTGTTGTTCAGAGCAATCCGTGGGCCATACTTCTTCGATTCAATAAATGCAATTACATGAAAAAACAATCGTTTCATTTCTACTGAAAATTCTTGGCCAGACATCGTGAACTTTTTGAACAAAACGCAATACTTCACACGATTTTGAAAAGAATAATGTTCTTCTATGGTTCGTTTCGAATAGTCTATTAAATGAAGTTTATTGTAGTTTGATAATGAGTAAAATGAAATGGTCATGCAAAGCGGTGGGTATATATACACTAACTTTTACATTGAAGAAAGTTCTAGATCATTATGAGTCAGATGAAAAGAGAGATATAAAGTAGTATAGAAAATATAAGTGCCAAATGCGCTTCGATGACCTGAACCAAAATAACGAAACAACAAAAATTTAGCGTAGATTTTTTTTCATACATGTTAACAGAAGGAAAAGAAATATACTACGATGTATATATACTTTTGATGTCGCAATAACTATCACTGTATCACAATACTAAGCACGAGTAAAAGAAATATGGAACACACGATTCATCAAGTAAGGAATTTTGAAGAATAGATTTACTATAAATCAAAATAAATTCTCTTCTTTTTCCTCACAGACATGATACGAATTTTACTTTTGTTTTATTTGAGTTCATCAAAGAAACAATGGGCAACTTATTTGATTATCCATATTTATAAAAGAAAATATGTTTTCGAAACTTCCAAAAGTGAAAAGGATGATACCATTAGATTCAATACTACCAAAAACGCGTATTTTCATGCATAATTTGCTTTTATTTCGCATGTAAAAACGTGTGTTTTTCAATATGTTAAAAAATCTGTAATTGTTCGAGGAACTATTGAAATGATGTGAAAATGATGTGATAGATAGAGCAAGAGCCGGGCTACATTTTGGTATAATTTGAGCATATGTTGCTACTGAGAACATGAGGGTTATGTAGCAAAAAGATATTTATCTGAAAACATAAGTAGAAAAGTTTTCCAATTCCCGTTCCTCGTATGTGGCTATGGGCTTCCTGCGACGCTCTATCCAATGGTGAAAACCCCAACCCGCTAGCTACCACTATTGCCGAGTTATTCCAAAAATGGTGGATAGCATTTAAAAAAAATTCGACATTAGTTTTAGACACACGAAAGTAATTCGACCTAACCCCCATCATGTGTTCGTATTTCTCTAGAGGGATCGATCCCCCAATTCCCTCTCTGGGCATTTCATTGACTATAAGCGCACAGTGTTCACAGTACGGTTGTTAAGTCAAGGGGAGAAAGCGCATTTTTTGGATTTTGTGAATTTCGTCTGTCTGAAATTTGTAGAAAAACTCTTAAATTCTTTGAGAAAAAAAAATTAGTGAAGGCCATGGAATTACGATGAAAGCTCAAAACAATATACTCAGGGCTGGCCTGAAGCAGCCAACATTGAGGAGTTGTTGCAATTTTCGGGGGTTGTCCTGGATTTTTGTAATGGGAGTAGAATTTTTTTCTAACAAAACGGAAGAAAAAATTTGCGACTCCGCTGGGAAAGAACAAAAATTTTCGATTATTGGGGGGTTGTCACAACTCCCACAATCCCCGATCGGACGAGCCCTGAATATACTAAAACCCAGTAAGATCTACAAAATCTAGAAATCAATACGAAAAAAGGTTTCCTCTGTCATTTGGGACTCCTAACTCTAAGGAAATCTAGAAAAACAATGAAGTCATCCAAAATCTGGAAAACTAAAGTAGTTCACAAAAATATAACATGAATCAGATAAAGTATTAGATAAATCCACAGATATTATACAATTCTGTAAAAAATTTGAAATTTAATTTTTATCAAAAACAATTGAGAAAGTCGACAACAACTAATAGTTAGATCAGACGTTTCGTAAAGTTGCGTGAAACATCATGAAGTCCACCGAATTTCAACAAAACTTTAAAATTTATGACGTTATTAGCCACGTACTCGCAACTTAGCTAACAAGCGAATCTATACAACTGATAATTTCCGTTCAAGTTCATACTTTTCTCATAGGTAGGACTCATAGCGTAGATAAAAATCCTACAAAGCCTCATACTGTTATTTTACTATTTCAGGGAAACACAAATAATAAGTTTCTATAAAAATGTGTAGCAATGACATTATTATCATATGTGCCTAGAGGTGTAAGCCGTATGGTTGAGCCACCACCGTTTTTTTCTGGAAAATAAGCCAGCACCGTCACTAAAGCATAGATCATTTTAAGAATTTTTCGACAGCCGCCGCTGTGGAAAAGCAAGTTTAGCTGCTTTACCACCACCACGGATGAAAATTTTACGATAATATGAGCCGGCGCTGCTGAGATCCATACATATGCGGGATAAGATTCTACCGTTATTTTTCATCAGTCGAGTTTTTAGACACAGGGATCGAAATAAACATGCACTTCTTATTCTCAAGAGAACAGTTGAATTTTAAACTTAACAGTTGCCGTCGCTGTAAAAGTAATTGAAGCAATTATAGCTGTCGCCGCTGAAGAACCTGCAAATCAAATCTGTAGCCACTGGAAGTTCTCGCGAATTGAAAATTTTTTCCACCGTCGCCGTTCGACCCTTCGGCTTATACCTCTAGATATGTCAAAATGTTTGCAACATGTTTTATTTTAGAGTAGGGATTCGTCTATATAGCTTCGCAGAGATTTTCACGACGTATCTTTCAAGAACAAATTTAAAATGTTATCATTTTCAGAGACTAAGATATATAAAAAGTAAAATTTTTATTATGTTCAATATGACAGAAAATCTTTAGGAATATCATACAGATGATTTTATTTGATTATGGAAGAATCACTAGAGCAAGTCAAGAGAGCTTTCTTTTATAAATATTTTGAAGAGTGAACCATAATCTATCTGTAAACAAAACTCAACATTTTATCGTTTTCCTCAGCCAAGAAATTTGCAACCTAGAAAAACGTTGCAATAATTTTAGCACATTTGATAATAATGCCACTTCCATACGTTTCTGTAGAAACATGTGATCTGTGTTTCTCTGAAATACCAAAGCAAGGGTACGAACCTTTCTGGGTTTGTTATCTACGCTATGAGCTCTCTCTATAGACAAAGTATCTGCTTGAACAGAAGTTATCAGTTGGTAAGGCTCTATTTTATCTTAAATTCGAAGTTCCACAGATATATCACCTATAGCAAATATTTCTTGTTTTTCAGACTCACGTTTCAGAATTAAAACGATCGTATTCACCAAGTAGCTTTTCATGAATGAAATATTCTTTGTTTTTTCATTTAGAATATACTTTCTTTTTCCAAATATTAGCGTCAAAAAACATGAAATAAACGATTGGACATACCTGCATCTGTATAGTCCAGTAGTCGACGGAAGCCCAATAGTTGGCTTTCTGCAGCTTCTTCTGGAAGAACCAGGGACAGTTTGACAAGAGGCGTTCGAGACCGATCAATGTGGATCAAAGTTGAATTTGACGAGAAAAGTTGCAATAGAATGTGTTTAAATTGTCGCGCCATTCTTTTAACCGTTGTCTCATTGAATAAGTCGCGTGAGCAAATAAGCGAGCACGAAAGTACTTTATTTTCAGATGATCTATTATAAAAGAAGGTCAGCATGAAGTCGAATTTAGTCACTTCGCCGAGCTCTTGAAGCACTAAAGACTCGGATTCTGCTCCATGAAAATTTAGCTGTTCAACATCTAGAAACTCGGTGGTAAAATCGAATACAGCCTTGAGGAAAGCAATAGTCAATTTCGGATGGTCTGAATCAGCAAGAATATGTTGAAGCGGATAATGAGAATGCTCAAGAATTGACAAGCATTTGTCTCTAACTTGTTCTACAAGTTGATCGAAAGAGCCATGTGGATCAACTTGAACACGATATGGGAGAGTAGCAACAAACATACCAACGATATCTTGTATCTCAGGTCTGTATCGGTTAGCATTCACACAACCAATGCATAAATCGCTCTGAAGATTGCATAATTTAAACAAAAATGCATAAAACGTGGCAAGGCCAAGTTGAAACGGTGTGACATTATGAGACGATGCATAACAGAGAAAAGAGGTTGAGATATCGCTGTCGAGTGAAAACCGAGCGGAACAAGCGTTACTCGATCGTTCGTCAGTAGTTGAACGATGTCGATCAACTGGCAATCGCAAGTGCTGTTCGAAATCATATCCTTCAAGTTGTGTCCGCCAAAAGTCACGGGACTCTATCATGTCTAATAAACGTTCATGCGCTGAATAATCAATGTATTGTAACGAGTCTCCATCGATGACCAAGGGCCCGTCAGTATTATACGCTGTGCACAAGTCTTTGAAGAATATTCTGTTAGAAGCCCCATCGAAGGCCACATGATGAAAAGCCATTGTGAGTACATCAAATACAGTAATCAGGTCATTATTATTAAGTGTACTAATGGGTGCATGTCGAATAATTCGACAATGAACAACACAACCTTTCAACAAATCGAACAGAGCACCACTTGTGGTCATTTCGTTAAGAATCAAGTGAAGTTCGTTATCGTTTGAAAATGTTTGTTCCATACCAATAGTAAATGTTTCGTGGGATTGTTCGATTCGTTGCTTGAGGATGCCGTCAAGACTGTCGAAAAAAAGAGATGTTCGTAGCACTTTGTGTTTCTCTAAAACCAATCTTATCGCTCGTTGAAGGCGTTTCACTGACATCAAACCACTTTTGATTTGAAATGCTACCAAAACATTGTAGACGGCAACTTTTTTGGAAAAACGAACTTGCTCATCCAGAAAAATGCGCTCTTGTGCGAATGATGCAATGCCTAGAAATATTTTATTCGTGTGTTAATTCATCTGATGTTCAGCAAAACACAATTATTACCTTCACTGATATGTAGTGTTGGCCATGCTTTTGATTTCACATCAGCAAAATTGATTGTTTCAAGTAATTTTGCATGTTCAGCAATAGTTGCCTGCTGAAGAAATGGTGTAATGCTAAGTGTGTGACTATCAAAACCAAATGACGACTGATAATGATGATAGAGCTTAATAAAAAGTAGTGAATGACCTCCAATAGTGAAGAATCCGCTGGTAGTTGAAATCTTTTTGTCAGCAGTTTGTAGTACTTCACACCAAAGATTATGCACACGTTCTTCCATTTCAGTGTGAGGAGCGTTATATGTATTGCTTGTTGAAGTACTTAACGAGGAGAAATCAGGAACTGGAAGACGCTTTCGATCCACTTTTCCATTTGCATTTAATGGTAACTGATTAAGCACGATGAACATTGACGGAATCATGAATGGTGGGAGACGAGAACGACAATGTGTGCGTAAATCTTCTTCACTAATACCAGATCCTTTCACGTAAGCCACCAAATGGTCATCTCCCCATTTAACGACAACACAGGCACTAATGTGACTATCGAGCAAACATCGCTCGATTTCACCTACTTCGATACGTTGTCCATGCAATTTCACCTGGTAATCTTTACGACCGATATAGTAGATGAGACCGCTGCTATCTATTCGAACAAGATCACCTGTTCGATAGTACACTGCACCATCGATTTTGACTAATGCTTTTTCTGTCAAGTCATCACGATCAATATAACCAAAAAAGACACCCACGCCTCCGACTAAAAGTTCACCCTCCTGACCGATGATTACATGTTGCCCAAACTCATCATGGATGAGGCATCGATAATTTGGAAGTGGTTGACCAAGTGGGATTGCGCAACTCTGATATGTTGAATTTACTTGATGGTAGGTAGAAAAAATTGTGGTCTCAGCTGGTCCATACACATGCCAAATCAAACAATCCCTTGTCACATTGCTTTTTATTCGTTCAGCCAATTTCGGTGAAACAATTTCTCCTATCGAATAAAAAAGTATAATCAATTCATAATGTCATTTATATTAGTGTAATTCTACGAACCTCCAGCACAAAGTGATCGCATTGAATGCAAATGAGGAATTTGCACTTCATCAAGAAGATCACAGAGACTGTTAAGCAGTGTTGGTACAGCAAACATATAACTGACTTGTTTATTGCTTAGAACTGTAGCAAGATACATAAGATCCATGTTGCCTTTTCGACGAAGCATGATGATTGTGGCACCAAGAATCAGTGCTCCTAAAATTTCTAACAAATGAGCATCAAAAGAACACTGAGCAAGTTGTATAGTTATGTCCTTCTGATTCAGCATGTTAAGATATTTCAGCGATTGAATACAATCAACGAGATTTCCATGTCGAAGTTGAACCTGCAAAATCATTACTATTTCAGTCATCCTAAAAGGGAAAAATAACTAGAAACTAACTGCTTTAGGTATTCCAGTGGATCCACTTGTAAATACAATAGCAGCGATACAATCCGATGTTACCATGGAACACAGTAGTCGATCAGAATCAGAACTACTGACTATGTCATCATTGTTTATTATTGCATCAATATCTACCGTGATAATATCGCCACTGAATCTGTCTTGTGTCATGAAATGAACAAGAACAAGTCGACATCGAGTTTGTTTCAACAACATCAATAAACGTTGGTCAGGGTTTTCAGGTGATAGTGGGCAATAGGCACCGCCAACCATTTCAATCGACACTATACCAATAACCTAATCATATAGAAATCCTCTTTCCTAGAATCATAAGAATACTTTGAATAAACTCACCATCGATAGACTTCTCTCTACACATTGACAAATAACTTCACCAGGTTTGATCTCATATTTTTCAAGTAGATGAAGAGCTAGCAATTGTGCATAATGGAGAAGTTCACTGTATGTTAGAGATTGTTCGTCAAGCTCGACAGCCACTTTTTGTGATAATTCGATTGCTTGATAGGTGAACTCGTGATGTACACAATTGACAGAAGAAACTGAATCTGTTACCTTATTTAATGATTGAATGAGTAGATTTTCTTCTGGTAATATTAAAGACAGTTTGTAGATTGGCTCTATGTTCCAATCCATAGAGGATTGAAATAATTGTTTCAACATGAGATGGAATCGTTGCGCAAATTTATTGATTGTCTCTCGCTCGAAGAGATCAAGTGATGCATGGATTGTGCATGATAGCTGTTCAGTGATTGAATCATGGTGTATGTTAAGCGATAAATCAAACTTGCTTACAACTTCATCTGTTCCAATTTTGAATGAAAAAGGTACACGACTCAGGTGAACATCACCAAATATGATTTCATCACAAATATTTTCTTTTGGACTCGAGCCAAATTGAAAAGATGTATCGAGAAAAGTGGGTTTTGATGCAAGTGGATGTTGAGCAAGAATGCGTTGAAGAGGAAAGTAAGAATAATTCGAGCTATCCGTCGCTATTTGATGTACTTCCTCGACTAATCGAGCGAATGACCAACTGGGATCAAGTTGACATCGCAAAGGTATTGCATTGGCAAACATACCGATTACAGACATTAGTTCAGGCTTATAACGACCATGAGT